TAATTAATATGTGAACTAGGGAAAGAAAATAATAACTTTATTTGAGGGGCTTTATCAGAATTATTTTGAAAATACAAAAAGACACTGAAGTCTTAGAAAAAACGATGAAATGTTTTTAAACATACCCATTTTTCACCAAGTAAATATTTTAATGGAAATAATCAATTATTAATCAAAATTCCAACAAGCTATTTTAAATAAAAGAATTCTGAAATTAAATTTTAAAATAAAATAGATGAAAATATCGAATAATCTTCTTTAAAAAGTAAATTAATAGTAAGCAAAAGTGGGTATATACCCAAAGGAATGGAAATCATCCAGTTGAAGGGACACCTGCACTCCTATGTTTATTGCAACTCTATTTACAATAGCCAAGAGTTGGAACCAACCTATATATCCATCATTGGATGACTGGATAAGAAAAATGTGGTATACTTCCACAATGGAATTCTACTCTGCCATAAAAAAGAATGAAATAGTGCCATTTGCAGCAACATGAATGAATTTAGAGAAAATCATATTAAATGAAATAAGCCAGGCACAGAAAGAGAAAAACTGCACGGACTCACTTGTAAGTGGAAGCTAAAAAATAAATAAATAAATAAATACAAAAAAGAACGAAAGACACAATAATCACAATAATATGTTAAACTTTCACAAGAAGAGTACAGAACTGAGGTTAACAAAGGTGGGAAAGAGGGAGAGGGAGAGGGATAAGGGAGGAATTAGTAAAGGACCATGAAAAATGATTGCATCGTATGATGTTGAATATACTAATTTTCCTGATTTGAGCATCATATTGCACACAGGTATTGATATTCAACTCTGTACTCCACAGATATGTACAGCCAATTATGTTACAATAAAAACAAATACATAAAAAGATTACTTTATCACCTATTGCAGTGCATTAAAAACATTTTTTTTTAAATAGTGTGGAAGTGTGGGAAAAAAATAAACATTTATGTTATATTTATATTATACCAAGAAGCCCTTGGTATATCAGTAGATATTTATGTAAGGAGAAGACATTCTGACTG